TTTCCCACAATTCCCTAAATTTTCAACCAATTTACCATATTTCTACCTATAATCTCACTGTTTCCTTTTCTAGGGGGGGTATATACACCGGCTGAAACGGCAAATTTTTATTTTTATCTTGCGCGCCCTCTACTCGCACAACCTACTACCCACGAAATCTTAGTTTCTCCTCAATCCCACCCCTGATTTCGAGCAAGTAAAGTGAGTACGACCCCCCTCCCCCAAGGTGGATTTGGTACGACGACCCTTCTCGACCCTCAACCACCATATTCCTCTCTATACCATCAACTTCCACTACCACTCAACCCTCAAAACTCCGCCCACTTTTTCCTCCAAAAATGCCGTCGAGCGGGGGGGGGGTATATAGTCCCTCTGAAACAGTAAAAATTTTCCCACAATTCCCTAAATTTTCAACCAATTTACCCTATTTCTACCTATAATCTCACTGTTTCCTTTTCTAGGGGGGGTATATACACCGGCTGAAACGGCAAATTTTTATCTTGCGCGCCCTCTACTCGCACAACCTACTACCCACGAAATCTTAGTTTCTCCTCAATCCCACCCCTGATTTCGAGCAACTAAAGTGAGTACGACCCCCCTCCTACAAACTCAACCAGGTACGACCCCCCGTTGTTACTCGTAACAACGTAGGGTTGACCCTGATCTGGCGCCAGTTGGCGCCACCTTGTCACGACACATGTTTTCACCAAATTCGGTGTAAAGTTCTGTATAGGGGTTATTTGATGTCCTGATTACGAATATGACATTCGTTTTTGACATTACCGCTGTTTACCGCATACTTCCCGCTTTTCTGGGCTCTCTCACCTATACATAGCGCCTTGGGACTAAGCTTAGGGGATAGGGAGACTCGGAATGAGTGAATCAGGCACCGTGTGACGAAGATGGAGCGTGTGAGATCACAGGGTAGGGGGCTCACTCACTGATATCTTTCCTCTCTCCTAAAGCTTAGTCCTGATCGCGATCTAGTCACTAGGAGGGCGCAGACGAAGAGATTAAAGCGCTAAATGGAGCTAGCGCCAAGAATGAATGTCATATTCGTAATCTGGACACCAAATTACCCCTACCCAGAAGTTTACATCGAGTTTGGTGAAAACAACTGTCGTGACAAGGTGACGCCACCTGGCGCCAGATGGCGCCCCCGTTGAAAATGAATGTCATTTTCGTAATCAGGGCACCGAATTACCCCTATAGACAAAGTTTCGACGAAAAATAAAATTTTGAGATTTTGGGTTGTTAATTAGTTGATTTTGCAGAATTTTTTTTTGATTTGTTTTGCAGGATTTATTTTAATTGAATTAATTTGCTCTGTTAGAGGGGGTCGTGCCAGGATCTCGATTTCGGGGGGGGGGTCGTACCTCTGCGACCACGTACTCGACACGATTTTCACCCTGGCTTCCAAGTGTGGTTCTGGGACGTCAGGGAGAAACACTTTTCTGGCCTTTTTGAGTTGCCTGCATTAATTATATCACACTTTAATGCATCCCTATTCTATCGATCGATGGGGTGGTCTACTAGCTCTCCAAAGCGCACTGGAGCGTCCTTTCATTGCATCGCCTGATTACATGGGCCCAGTTGCGTGACTTATCCATTGACACGCGTTTGGTCCGCCAATATTCGATTGTCATGAATGGATGTTTCGTGAGTTTGTACTCTTCGGAACCAAATGCAATCAGAGCGACTGTCTGCAGCACTTGCCCCACCCTTTACTGGAGGACACCCGATCCTTCTCCTTTTGAAACTCCAAGCGAGCAGCACATAACCCCGTGCGTGGTGATGTACTTTTGCCATCGGGTTACATTAAAGGGAGAAATGCCTCACACACCCTGAAAAGCAGTGATTGCACCGGAGCTGGAGCGTTTCGGAGCGGTACTTGCGGTTGCCCATTCATGGCCCAGCACAGGTTGCCCACTCTTACCTCTAACGACCGAACAACCGACAGTAATTTAAGGGAAAAGGATAAAGGATAAAGCATTTGCCGTTGATCAATCCCTTTTTGGGATGCGGCACGCATTCTACTTCCATTTGTACATTCGTAGTGGCGTTTGAATGCGATGTGGCCTATACAATGACTTGCGGGGGCCAGCCGATGCCCAAGCGACACACGGCCTCCACAACCCTAGCCAAAACGCTTTCTACTCATTTTCCTCAGGATTTTATTCAATGACTGGAGGGGATGAATTATCATTCATGGGAAGGTATCGAAACGATCCCGAAAAGTCTGGATAAAATTGAATACGAAAAGAATGACAGTGGGGATGGTGCCGTTTCGTACCTATAAGAGTTTGTACTAGTGCTCACTTCCGTAATCTGTTTACTTTAGAGTTCAGAACAATCTGGTGGCCTACTCATTCAAAGCAAAGAACACGCTGATCGCTAGACTCATCAAACGATCAACTGAACTATCCAGTAAACACCGTTAATCACCTCACATAATGAATAGCTTACAGCTTAGGCTGTTTTTAATAGCATCATTAATCTCTGAATAGTCACGGAAGTAATTGATAAACCGGGTTTTTCATTACAGAATGAGCAAGCTCTGGGAAGACTCGTGATGACCGAAAAACCGCTGCAGGATATTGTTCGAGATATATTACACATTAGATGTGATGCTCTCACGGCAGAGAACAAGCTCGGAAAGCGAAGGGACCACTTGGTGAAAATGACTCCCTGTTTGGAATTTGGTACTGGGAAACAGTTGTGAATATCCTATTGTGTGGGATGAGTCGGTTGGCTGACGAATTGCTCCAGGGCCTTCACTGATTCGATCTGAACTCATCGATAAATCTCCAACTCCACCTCGGGCGAAGCTCCCTCCTTTATCATGTATGCAAATAGTTTATCGTACCTCGGTTATCGGCATAAAGGTAGAAAATGACCAATCCCTAGGTACACGCCATGCACTTTTCTTCCGTCTTTCAATCGTGGAGATAACTGAGTACGAATTATGCACAAGTAATAGGTTGTTGGAGCCAGCCAATCTCCTCACCTCCTCCTTCCACCCTTCAAAGAAACAACTGGCCAGTCTAGATTTGATCTTCTAGCAGGTACTACTTGCCGCTAAGGCATGACGACACACTGTGCCCGCCCTTCAACTGGCTGCCCATGCAGTTGGTCGCTCGTTGTAGGGCTCTAGTTCCTTGGCTTGTGAGGAAACCTTGAGGTAGCAGTTGTCGAAAGCGCTAAACTTTGATGACTGAATATCCCACTTCCGAATTCCTGTAGCCGAATGCGAGTAGACTTTCGGAGGAAGCGACAGGAGCAACAAGGAATCGTAGAGCACAAATTACTTTTGAGCAGTGCGAGCAGTTCCCGTGTAAAATATGTGCTGATAGAATTCGAACCCGTCAACGCCAAGCCTACGATATAATGCGCCAATCCACAGATCCTTCCTGAGATATACATATGATTAACTAATTGAGTGATAAAAGTTAGGGCAGAATCTGACAGCGCAACTCTATTGATTACCAAGAACTGATAAATCACATCAGAAACAAGAACGATCACTAACACTAAGAATTTGATCGATTTTTTCCCGAAGAAAGAAACGCACATTTGGCGCCAATCAATTATTTTTGGTATACGCCATGCACTCTACTCCGATCCTGAAACGCTATCGTACTTGAATCAATTGGCCTAAAGAAAAGGCTGCGGACTAGCCACTGTATAAATCTTCATCTCTTCGGACGAGTCTGGCAGTGATTCAACGTCAAGAAGGGGACGGGAGCTCACCAGAGCCAGACCGGATTCGATCTCACGAACCGTGGGCGTAGTGAAGTGGTTCTATTTCCCACCAAACCTCCATAGCCATTTTCTATTGAGAGCAACAATCAGAGCCAGTGCCCGTGAGGGGGGAGGGGACGGGTTTGAAAGGTTTCCAACGGGAAATATTTGCTCCTTCCGTACCAGAGCAGTATAGATAGCATCTATCCTTCGACTGTACAAAACACTGATCTTATTCCATTCGAGCTCATCCTACTTCGTCCACGCATAGGAACGGGGCTGGGAACACCATCTTTTGCAGTTGCGCTTGCATAGAATAATCTAAGCG